CACCATTCCCTGATTGGTTCACTGGCTCCGCCCACTTAACAGGAAAACAACGCGAAAACGATTTTAAATTAGGAACGTGCCCTACCTTAAGTATAAATATGAACTAGCACTATGTATGTTATTTAAAATACAGTATTCATTTTTGATTGGTTGAAATTTATTAATCAAACAAAATATATAAACTTTTGATTTTTCTGATCTTCAAGTGGCGTGTTGAAATGAAATACAGAAACGTATAAAACCATACGCGTTAACAAATGTACCATGTTATGGTGTACGTATAGTACTTACCGGAGAGTCGTTTTTTAATAACAATCCTGCAGTGCGTGTTGCCTAGCAACAGGCGGAGAGGGGGCAGGTTAGCCGCCGCGTCGCCGAACGCCTTCGCCTCTATTCTAGCACTCTGCCATTCCAATTCCTACAAAAAAACACTTAATGTGAAAAATACATTTTATAACAATATTAACATAGTTTATACCACTCAGGAATAATGTAGCATTATTCCAGTAAAGTAATTTTTAACCTAAGCCCATTAGTTTTTGAGTTTATTGGTTACAAACACACAAAGTTAATACAAATCTATTCGTTTAATACTCTCACCTTGAATATCAAAAGTTGTCCAGTATCGGGAGATTTGATTCTCGTCAGTCTAAGATCTCCCTTCCGACCTTCTGGTGTGCGAGACTCCACTGTTACTCTTGAGATCTGAAAAAATACAGGAAAAGCGATTATAAAGACAATAATCAATATATTAATCGAGTCTTTATGATCGATATTCAATTGTATGTATATTGCTTTCGTTATAAGGTTTTGTAGAATTCTAATAAATCTTAATGAAAAAACTCCCTTAAAAATGTCCCTTTAACTAATGTAAACGGTCTACTGTGCTGGGGAACTAGGACTTCTATACATTGTGTTATAAACATATTGCGAAGTCTGCACTGCTTTGGCTTCATGTTACGTATTTATTCTTTAAATATTGCTAATTCGTACTAAATCAATTTTGAATAGTAATCTATTGTACGATAATAAGAGAATCACATGAACACTTTAATATGTACGTTTTTACAAGGAAACCGCTATAAACAATAGGAATCGCTCACCTGAACACTACTGGTAAAGGCATCACAATTGAAGTCAACTTGTACTTGGTTCACAGCCACCGAAATACCATCTATAACCTGAACATAATAAGGTGCTTAATAGTATAACAAAAAACAAACGAATCAATTACAATTCATTTCATACCTCCTTGAATTTGTACATTTGACCTTGGTAAAGTTTTTATTGACTTATGATTACCTTGTGCAATATTTTTCAATTATTTTATTATTTACAAGCTTTCGCCCGTTACTCTGTCCAGGTGGAATTAAAAAAGTGAGTTGTCTGTGTTCTTCCAGACTATCCTCTATCTATAATATTATAATAAAGCGTAAACACATACTTCTTTGTTGCCTAAGATGTCAGCAATTACAGCATATTTTTGAATAATTCTTTTTTTAATAAAAAACCCTATAGTTACGTCACGCTTTAGACTATATATTTTAACGCCATTAAACTTAGGGGGTAAATATTTTTGATAGAAACCTTAATGTGGGAAAGAGACCATAAGTTGCTGCCAACATCAAGGAAGCAAGGTTGTCATCATGTCATGTTATTTTGACATTTGCAATTGATAACTTGACAAATGTGAAGAACAAAATTATTTTTTTATACTTTTATGCGGATGAAGTCGCATGGGAACAGCTAGTCTAAGCTAAATTTCATCGCGATTCGTTTAGCCGTTTAGGCTACAAACTCTAACATCCATCTATCTATCTAAACTGTCACATTTAAAATATTAGTATGATTATTTTCTCTATCAATGAGACAATTCAACTTTATTACATAATATACCTAAAGTACAATCGCGGAAATTCGCGGTGTTCCACTTTGTGAAAAATTGCTTTGATCTTTGACGAGACAAACATCGCCTCCAACAAATAACTAATTAGCTAGCGAGTGCAAGCTAAAAAAGCTTTGTATCACCAACTCGTTTCAAAATGTTCAAGCCATTGTAGTTTTTTAGGTGGAACACCGCCAGTTACCCCGATTGTACATAACTTACCTTATGTATGTAGCTGTACTTTCCGGGTGCGGGCATGGTGCCTGCAGCACCAGGGTTCATCACACGAGGCTCTGTACACACCTCCAATGCTATGTGTACTTCGTCTAGATTCTGTAAATAGAATTTGTCGACTATTAGACTATTGTAAGACATTTCCTAGCACAAGCCTTAAGCGTAGATACAATGGTTAAAAAAATATTGTAAATATAAAAAATACGATTGGTTTTAATTTAAATTTATATCAGTACTAATATAATAAAGAGGAAAAGTTTGTATTTTTGGATTTTTATATGTAGTGTAATAACTCTAAAACTACTGAGCCGATTTCAAAAATTCTTTTACCATTAAAAAGCTACGTTATCAGTGAGTAGATGCTTTGTTTTTTTATTATAGCTTTAATATTACGCGGGCGAAGACGCGAGCAAAAAATAGTAATAAATATATGGGGAATCTATCACACGAACCTCAGATAAATTACAAATACATTTGTGTTTATTCTATTCTCTTTCTCCATTTTAATTAAATTCTCTGTATGTTTAAAACCTTAACATAAATAGCGACAATTGCAACAGACCTCACTGGAATTCCCAATTTATATGCGGATTGTAAAACTTTATCCTGGCAAGTCACGTGGAGAAATTGCGTACTTAAACTTCGAAGTTAGGATATTTCGTTAGATTATTTAAATTAGTCATTTATATGCAGAACAATCTATTATTTCCTGTTACTGTTAATCATACTTATATTATAATCTATATGATAGCTGTATAATACTGATATATTATGTACTTTTGAATAAATACAATCAAAAGTGGGACTTAGTTCTGAGGTTATCAACATATTAGATTTATGTTCTTACGATTGTAGCGTTTACTAATATTATTAACTAGCTTTCGCCCGCGATTCCGTCCGCGAGGAATTAAAAAAAAACGAAACTGAGTAGCCTATATGTTCTTCCAGATTATCCTGTACGTCTATACCAAATTTCATCGAAATCCGTTCAGCTGTTTAGGCTACAAACTCTAACCATCTAAACTTTCACAAATATAATATTATAATATAATAGTATGAAGTATAATAGTAAAGTTTAGATGGATGGATGTTTGTTAGAGTTTATAGCCTAAACTGCTAAGCGGATCTCGATGAAATTTGGTATAGATGTAGAGGATAGTCTGGAACAACATATAGGCTACTTGCTTGTGTTTTTTTTCCACACGGATGGAGTCACGGGCAATATCTAGTTTTATATAATTAAAATCTTGTATGAACAAAGCAAGAAACAAAGACTAAGAGCCAAGGCTAGTCAGTGGCGTGGATTTAATTCATTGAATAATTCATGATTTAGGGCTGTATTTAACTTTGGATTCTTGTTTATCTTATATACGGAAACACAAGAGTTTGGAACGTGGGGTTTCGACCGAAATACAAATGTTTATTATTACTTTGAAATACAATCAATCAAATAAACAAAGTAGACTCTAAACGAAGTCGTTATTTTAACGGATATAACGACTTTTAGACTAAAACTTTTTTTTTTAAATATGATGTTATTTGAAAGTTAAGTAAGACCTAGTCAGTGATATCACCATCTGCCTCCTTATCTTACTCCTGTAAGGTCAGCGCAACAGGTTTTTGTCCTCCACATAACTATCATACGTCATCTCAGTCATCACTCCCTTCATTATGTCACCTTTCACGCAATCCATCATCTTTCTAGATCTTTCTAGATCGATCTTTATGCTGTACCCTTAATCATCTATGAGAGAAAATTCATTTAACCGTCATGTTTAGGTATACATATTTTTTAATATTAGTAGATTTTTGTTAATTCACTAATATTTCCTTTAACCATTCCAACTAAGCTCTAGGTTTGTGTTAGGATATGGTTCACGACAGTCGAATGGCGGGATTCGAACCCTCGACCTCAAGATCTCAAGTCCGTACCCCAATCCATTAGGCTATTGGCGCTTAGTTTTGTTAATTTTGAATGATGTTACATGATGTATTTAAGCATTAAGTACGATACAATAACAAATATAGTAAATATTAAAAACAGTATTGCATAGCTTATTAGTTTTCTATAGAAAATTTGGCAGTGTTCAAAGTGGTACTAAAATAGTTTCCTGCTTTTGTTCGTGAATTGTATTGCGTTGTTTATAAATTTAGTTATAAGTAACTTACAATAGAGAGAAAACGTAATTCTTAGAACTATTTGGTAATGTACCAAATTCACGTCGCTCCTATTAGTTACCATAAACGTACTCGTGGTTTATATTGAAATATTTCAGTCAACCTCAAACCTCAATGAACTGGCCAGATACGTGACTACATTTTTATTACATCTCCCGACAAATAATAAATTAGGACATAAAATATTATATAAAATATAAACGAATATATATTAAATGAATTCAGTTAAATATAAAGTTAAAAAGACAAATGATTCAAACTTAAAAACAAGCATAGTATATTGCATATGAATTGGCACGTCATCGTGACTAAGCCACTTGTGTCTTATGTGCCAACTCAAACCCCGCAAACAATTATTATGTAGTCAAAAGTAGTTATGTCTAAAATCCTTATATCAAAAAGTTCAGTATTATTTTTAAACTTGTTTTATCTCAATGTCGAATAAAAATAAAACTGCATTTTTATCAATAGGGGTCACTGACCGGACTGTCTACACAATGGTGACTTATATGGCTTCCAGAAAAACAATGATGTCTATACCCTTCATGCTATAGCAATATTCTTGTTAGAAATATGACATGAACTACAAAGATGAACTACCCTTAAAAATCCTGTGTTATTTATTTATTTTTATTTATTTACAATAGGAAGCCAATGTCTCACATGAAATAAGTTATGTTTGATGAAGAAAAATAATTATAACTGAAACACAATATCATGGATACACTTACAGGCTAACACAACATTATGATAAAAAACAAAAGTTTTACATGACAAAGAATCAAAAACTAAGACTCACTACAAAAAAGAAAAATAACTTAATGTCCTAAGGTGTGTGATCTTTATTGAAATAATAATTTTTTAATTTTAGTTTTAATTAAGGAATTTGAATCATTAAATATATCAATGTTTGATTGCTTAGAGATTTTGTTATAATTGTGTGAAAGACGATATAGGGATTATATTTTATTTATCTATTTATCACCTTCAAATCTCCTTGAATGCAAAGATGTAAAGCAGATTCACATAAATATAAAAAAATAACACTCATAAATGATAAGTTAAGAAGTCAATAATCAATCAATTTAAGTAAAAGAATAATATTTCAATAAAAATATTTCCATTTTATTTCATTACTAGCTTTCGCCCATGACTCCGTCTGTGTGGAATTAAAAAAATAATAAAAACATAGCCTATGTTACTCACATTTAAGTTACCTTTGTAATAGTTAAATTATTTTTGAAATCAGCCGAAGTAGTTTTTATGTAAATCAAATACAAATACATACAAAAATCCAAATCTTTCCTCTTAATAATATTAGAATAGACTAGCTTTCGCCCGTGACTCTGTCTGAGTGGTATTAAAAATAAATACAAATAGTCTATGTGGTATCCCAGAAAATGCTCTATGACTGTACCAAATTTCATCAGAGATAAGCAGTTTCGGAGATACTTCCTAACATTAATTCAAACATACAAACTTTTACATTCTTATATTAGTATTAGACAACTTATTTAATTGATACTGTCGCTTTTAACTCAGAGCAATACTTCTCGTCAAGACTTAGGTTGCGCGCCAATCTATCCATACTTCTAGTGACATTGACAGCTGTCAGCTAGGGACGTGACGTTTATGCCGATAATCTTGAGTTGCGCCAATTCTATAGCACGGTACTAATTTTATTCCTAACATTAGTAAGATTATTATAAAATCACCTTACCAAAACAATAGGAACTGTTTTCAGTTTGGTCCATTGTATTCTGAATGATACTCGATTGCATTTTGCTGAACTCAACCGCACCCATGCTGGTAACTCTAACAGATCTGTAAGTAGATCCTCGTCCAAAGTCAAGTCTTGGAGTTCTCCAGAACCTCGAAGTGCTGACAATGAGATCTGTTCTGGTGATAGATTCTTTGTGTATCTGGTAAAGACAAATATAAATTTATTCTACATGAACATTACAAAACAAAAATCCTTTAGAAAATAAAAAGTAATCTTATTCTTGTTAATTTTATGAGCAATAGACAAAATATTATATTTCATCTAAGTATATAAGTAATATTGGTATTTGTTTTTGCTAACATAACATATCAAAATGTATTTTTTAACTGTTTGCCTGCTTTAAAATATTGTTACAAGTACTAGTAATCTAATCAGCATAAATAGACCTGAACTGTCACATTAGAAATCCAATTAGTATGTTAGGTAAAAAGTACAACTTAGTATTTAAGCTACGAAATTGTTTAATAAAAATACTGTGAAACATTTTTGTTTACGACTTTTACATTACTATGCCTATTTTATTATAATTATGGAATATTCATCATGCTCTGTACTTGAACAAGACTTCTACAATCTTCTTCTTTGATCAAAACTGTTTTGTTTATTTAACTCCGATTCTGTATTATCAAATGTCCTAATTTATGGATATTATTATAATTATGAGAATTCTTACCTTGATAAATGTTTCAACAGCTGATTCTTTATAATAGTAACCATTTTCGGCGTTAATTTAATAAAGTCTATCTAATTATCATGGATGTTATTTAAATAACATATTTTCCACTGAAACAATTTTTCCAATAGTTAAAGTTCTTTCTTTTCTTTTGCGATGTGGTGAAGTCGAAGTGAATGAATTGAACTTAAAATTGACAACTGAATGAATGTAGAGTGACAGGTGTCATGTAAAAATTAGTGATGCCCTTAGATGAGAAACGATGTTTCGAATAGAAAATCGATGTGCTTGTTTGTGTTTTTTGTTGAAGTTGACATGAAAACTCTTTCATGAAAAAAGAAGAAAAAACATATACATTGACACTTGTAAAGTGACGTGAAAAAAATTAATTAAGAAAAAATGTAATATGTCATAAATATCTGTCGTGAAGTATAAAATTAAATAAACTGTGTTATATATCTCTGCTTTCAATATTTTAATTATATTATTTTTACGGATCATGTTAATACTATTTAAGACAAACCATTAAAACTGATAATGTATCTCAAACAAACTACAAAGCCTATGAACACAGGCATATTTATTAAGTAATTGTTTATAAAAAAAAGTATTTTGAATACAGTTACCAATGTTGTACATGTATCAGAACGTAACCAGGCAACAAACTGAATGGCGCGAGTTTTGTTTACATGTTGTTGAGTTCATTATTGATTTTATAAAATAGTAAAGAATAAAGATTGGTACTTGCTCCTTTCAAGGTGTTTAGTATTTAAAAAACACGGTGCCTCGTGAATAAAACACCTGGCTGTTTTTAACGAAAGTTGAATTTACGCCGTTTAAAAAACAATACATTTTGACATGTAATATCATTTGTTGTCAGATTTATATTTTGCATAGTGCCAGAATTCTTTTAAGGTTGTTTTGCTTTGCTAATACAAAAATATATTGCTTGTGTATATTGTTTTAACCAATCGGACAATTTTGAAAAGTTTTCTCATATAATTATTTAATTGCTTTCATTATCACGTATACAAAACCTTTACTGTAAGTGTTTATAGTGTATTGTTAGGTCTAGTTATAAAAATAGATGTAAGTAGTCAATATTGTGCACATTTAATGTTATCTGTTCAATTTTTTAGCAAGAATTTGCACGCTTCAAAGCACGATGTCACGTAGCGAGATCAAAGTAGGCGCTAGAACGGAAAGTAGTGAGTACATTGATATGGACTTTTCTTCTGGTGACTCAAATAAAATGAAACCTAAACAGTTCTATCGGGAGGAGAATAATAACGAGGCCGATGAGCTATCGAAAGATTTCACGGAGATGGGATGTATAGTTGACGCTGTGAAACGACCACCTAACATCTGCGTAGAGACTTGTGTATACGAGGATTCCGATTCAGGCAACGATAAGTCAGAAGTGGAGACAAAAGATAATGAAGATGACATTTATTCCGACGAGTTTGAAGAAGATAAGAGCGAAATAGAAGAAGCTACGAAAGAAAGAAAAGAACAAAGTAAATCTGAACATAATATTATCAAGGAAACTCCATCAAGCCCACCGCTTGTCAAATTATCAAAAAGTCTATCAAATAGTTCTACTAATAAACAACTATCTTCGTCAGCACAATCAACTAATTATGGGTAAGTATTTTTAGTTAGGAACTGAAGAATTTGTGGACTTTAAAAATCCGTTTTTTTAATTGGTATTTGATGTTTTACGTCCTAGTTCGATATCAATCCCTCCAACCCGTCGTGTCAACATGTCTTTCACGAACGAGCGACTGCGTGAGATTGAAAGGCACAACCACATTTTACTTAACAAGATACTGAGCGCTCGTAACTCACGCAAGTCTTCGATACCTCCGCGCGAACAACCCGCGAGGAATCCTGTACCTGCGGCTGCTGTACACCGCAAGTTGCAACAGAAGAAAATAGACCACGACAACATGGTGAGAAACAATCTCTTAACCAGGAGATGTTTTACAAAGTGTATGGTTTTGTGCACTGCCTGCATTAGTCTAGGTCATGGTTGGCGTCCGCCTAGGGCGCCTAACACGGAGGACGCCACAAATCTGTGAATTACTCTAACATAACATTCTTAAGGGGATTCTTTACAGTCATATGTCTTAGATGTCTCGCCTAGGTCGCTACATCTCAGAGAAAATAGAACTCACTGGTCTCCTGATAGCTATATTAACGTACTCTATCTGTCTGTAAACTTAAATTTATCTACTCTGTGATACTTGTTGTTGGCAATAGGTTTCTATTAATAACAATAAAATAAAACATTGTGTTAAAAATATATTTAAATGCTATAATATCCAGATCCTCCTGAAGAAAATTCAGCGCGCCAAGTCGTCGGCGTGCAGCTTGCGGCGTTGATACAGAAGGCGCGTCGGCTGCGCTTGCGCAGGTCGGCGCTACACTCTGCCTACCCACTTTGTTGCACGCCAACCTATACGTGATCGTCAATATATTTTATATTATTGTTTACATGATGGCTTTTATTTAAACCTCATAAACTTATATTTATAAGGGCCTGTCCCACCACTGGCTGATAGAGAGTCAGATAGCTTAAAATGACCTCACTTTCGGATAAGAAAATAAAATCCGATAGCTTCATAATATATTTTACACGTTTTTTTGGATTGTGACAATTTGGTGGAACAGGTCCTAAATCTTGTGTATTATAATAAAAAAATAACATCTTTAACAAAACCATTAAAAAATAGAAATATACTTTCGTCTTTAAGTTCATCATGAAAGGCACTCTTTTATTTCTTTTTTTAGGATTGTTTAAGTAACTTAAACTCTCGATAAGGCATTTAAAATTCTTACTATGGAAATATTAAAATATCAAAATTATTCCTTTACATGTAATGCAATGGAGATAATAGCAATGAATTGCAAATATCAGTGGTGTGAAGGACACATAATAAAAACATGTCCGCTGGGGAGACGCATCGCATCACTACAGTCAGAGGTCATTCGTGATTCGTAAACAATATCACAGTTACATTGCACACATAAAACGTAAATAAAATAACATTGTAAACAACGTAACAATCATTATTTACAAGGCTTATGATTTATATGCTAGGTTTATTTTATTTTTATACAGTATTTCATAAACAATTTATACACTAGGTAAAATAAAAGATATTACAAAAATAATTCATCTTCCTGTCGCAAGATGGCGTTAGTAGTCATTTCAAAATTTCCTTGCTAATATTATATTCCATTCGTATAATCGTTGGACTATTGCTGTTATTTATTTCAATAAAAATCTGTAGTAGTTAATATTGATACGCGAGTGTTTACTACAAATCTTGATTCAAATGCCCGGTTATTTTCATTCAAGAGTCAAGAGGAAACGAGAAAACGAGTAAGTAAATCATCCTTTTACGGTTCTCATAACAATGTATTACATAAAGAAATCTGAATCATCTCGAGGTTGACTCACAGGAAACCCATGAAAACAATATTACGATTGTATATTGTTTAGTGACATTACAATAAAATGAATGAAGATATGATGTCATGTATTCAAAACATAGTAAAACGCTTCGATACATTAAAGTGCATGGTTTGTAAATGTTTGATTTTAATTACAAATGGGACAGAGTATCATTGACACAAATATCTACACATAACCTCAAAAAAAATATGTTGACAATCAACCATATTTGAAAGTTAAAAATTATTTAATTTCAAATAAACCATAATGTTCTTTATTTAAAAGTACTGCAGTTTAACATCGCTTATTTATCAAGAAATTAGATAACTAAATATAGCTTATCACAGTCGTCTACGTAGTTTCAATTAATACGCAATAACTATCTAAAAATAACAACAAACAATAATCTACAACTTTATCTTGCAGTATTTATCGTACGACATACATGATAAACGTTCACAAAACAATACACTTATAATTGAATTTTTAATTAAAACCATATAGGATTACAAAGAGATGGACATAGCGAAAAATACATAGTCAAACAAGGATATATGAGTCTTTTGTGCCCAGTCATTCCATATAGCTTCCACTGAAGCGATTTAAGAGCTTGGTGGCCTCCCGATCCGGTAATATTAACGGAGTAACGGCTCGTGCCGAGGCTCCTGAGGAAACCCTCGAACTTGTTACTCATAAACGAGGTTTAGGCTAAGCGTCATCTGCGTTCGGCCACCTCAAGTCCGGTGAATCTGTAAATCAAGACAAACAGTGGCCAGTCACAAATAAGTCAAAGTATTAACAAGTAAGGACTCACGTCAATTATAACGTTTGGTGATGAATATAATCACATTCTGGCTGCGTGATTAAATTCTTGGAAAGCTAGATAAAACATTTTTATTTTTTATCTATAGCAATATTATTATGTTGGATTTAATTTTGATAATTGGAATGTAATCGAATGTTTTTATGATTTAATTTGTGTCCGGTTAACATTTGTTTGAGATTCAACATTTTATGAATTGAATGATGATTTACTTAAAAAAAAACATGCAAACTTTGTGGTATTCGTTTCCTAATTTTGACACTGGCAAGTATTGACACACAACAAAGGTTATTTTGAAAGTTTTAATTTCTGCCTACATCTTTATTACAGTATTTACGTATTATTCAATAACATGATAACTGCAAACAATATTTATACCACAGTAAACAGTACATGGAAAACACATAATTATGTTTTAATTAGTATTTGCATTAGATTGCGTTAAAATAACTTTATGTTATAATTGAACTATTGAATAATTCTTGACAATATTATGCAATATTTTTTGCATTGCTTGCAGTGAAAATGACATGGAGAAATAGAGAAATCTTTAATGATTTTAATTCCGAACGGCGGATGTCGTTTGGAAAAGTCGTGAGTTAATTTGTTTTTTTTTTTTTACGAAAATTACAAACAGAATTAACTACTCACTGTATTGTCGATTATGGAGGTAAAATAATTGTTTTCGTTATATTGTTTATAGTGGAAATTTATTACACAATTTCACATAAACTATTTGTTAGTTTAGATTCAAAACGCTACAACGTCGTGTGGTCACATGTGGCTCCATCTACAAAACTTTGGGAATTCTGTCATACACGGAGGAAAAGTCTATTAGATGGATTATTCCCAACCGTCCCCCCGCTCTATCCCCGTGAACAGATGAGAATAAAAAGTTTCATCCGTCCCACCTTTTGCGACGAGGGAATCGTTGGAACTTATTTTATGTCATATCGGTTCCATCTGTCACTTTATTGGTGATAGAGGGACCAAAAGGGGGACAGATGAAACTTTTTATTCTCACGTTGGGACAGAGCGGGATGACGGTTAGAAATAATCCTATAAGAGAGATACTGTCTTCAATCAGTCGACAGTAATAATTTGTACTCACAGTTGCCGCTAATATAGCTACATTGCTAAAACTATACTTATATATCGATGTATTATTTGAATACAATACATTACGTCATGTTTCTAAATGACAGTGTATTGTAGTTAACCGGTACATTTCCATACGTTAGCAATATAATGAAATTGTTTCTCCGTAGACAACTATTGTCATTCGTTCTATTGAAGATTACTTAATGGTTCGTAAAAGTAACTATTAAAATACATAGTCTACTAAGTAAATGTTTGTAAGTTTGAGAGAATCGCTAACTAAATATTATATTTTTATTGAAGAAACTAACTGGCTTAAAAACACTAAACCAAAGCTTGGATGGGTAAACAGTGATCGAGACGAAATGTCAGGAATATACCTAGGTGGAAAAAAATGCTTAACAAAGCGTAGGCTCACGTGGAAACTGCATACACCCGATATACGAGTAATTGCACTTCGATTGTTTTTGTAATTTGTGTTATAATCCGTGATATTCAGCTTAGGGTTTATCAATTGCATGCATTATTTTTCGAACATTGGAAAGTACGAGAAGATATATAATTATTAATATCATAAACAACAAACGCAATTGAAATATCTTACTTCTTACTAATATTTTAAATGTGTGAGTTTGGATGGATGTTTGTTAGAGTTTGTAGCCTAAAAGGCTGAACGGATCTGGATGAAATTTAGCATAGATGTAGAGGATAGTCTGGAAGAACACATAAGCTATTCACTTTTGTTTTTTTAATTCCACGAACGGAGTCGTGGCGAAAGCTAGTTTTGTTATAAAACAATACATATTGATGCATCGCTTACGTCTGTGGTAATTTTGTTAGTGAATATTATACAGTTGGTTGACGATAGCAGAAACAATCTTACAAAAAGTATTGTAATTTCTCTTATTCTTACTGAATCTGACATAACAATTTATTTATATAATCATTTGATAAGTGAAAACTCACGGTTAAGGTAACGATGTTACGCCTTGTAACATTCTAATCGAGCGGTTCGTCGATCGCCGGTGTTTTCCTAACATTACGTACTGGCTGCATGAATGCTCGTCTTGTAACAAGTTTCTTTTAATTCTAAAATAATCCATACCATCACCGGAGCGTGAAAAATTGCATTGCTCACCCTTTATAGGTTTTAATGAAAATGCACCTTGCGTGGGGAAAATGCAATAGGGTGTCTACATCAACCCCTTGCATCTGACGCACCCTTTCATATTTCATCCCCTGCAGGTACAGGTTCACCCTTGGGAGAACATACGGATATTTTTTATGTAAATATTAGTAACGAATTCGAATATTTAGGTCATATTTTAGTCATGAACCTTTTTTTATATTATCCCCATATACCATTTCCTCTCTATTTCGATTTATCCTAAATTAAAGGAACTAAAAGAGTCTTACCAACTTCATAATTATGGACACTTCATGTTCCATCAAGAATTAATAACATTTAGAAGTGGCAGTATATTTAAATGCATTTCGTATGAACTCGAATCATATGAATCAGAACGTTTGCGGCACTTTAATCCCTTCATATCTCTACATATACCATCTGGTGGCTTATTCACAGCCATTTACTAATCGATTAAACCGATAAGCTCTTGTTTACTCGGAAACATCGATACAAAGGACCGAATTTCATTCATCGATACAATTGAAATCTAATTTCAATATTTTTCCACCAAAATCTTCCAAGAGTTAGGTTAATTCACAGAATTTGAAAAGCGTAAAGAAAATCCCGTCATTTTGTAAAACATCGCTCTTCCTTAATCCGTATGGCAAAAAATCATTATGCTTTGGTTGTTTTTTGCACGTCACAATGCTGATAAACATTTTGAGGAAATGACAATTTAATGAAAAAGTTAATAGATTTTTTGACTGAAATAGGGAAACCTTAAACGCCTAATCTTAAACACAAAACTGATAAACTAGCTTTCGTCCGCGACTACGTCCTCGTGGAATTAAAAGAAAACAAAAGTAAATAGCATGTGTGTTCTTTCATCGAGATCCGTTCAGCAGTTTAAGCTACAAACTCTAATAAACATCCATCCATCTAAACTTTCGCATTTATAGTATTAGTAAGAAATAATATGTGACAAT